AGCTTCGCCTCGCCCGCACGCACGACACGAACACAAAACCGAAATTGATCTCCCGGTGGGGGGCTGTCCGTTCCATTGTGCGATCTCACCCCCTACTTTCTGATATACATACACATATGCACACATACAACATATATACACACATATGGTCGTTCGTGCACAGACGCCTACGGCGAATCACAGCCGCCCCCTGCCTTTTGGAATGGCCCATGTGGCCGAGCGTTGTGGCCAGAGCTCTGCCAAGCTATCGGACCATGTGTTCTCCCAGCCGTTGTGGAAACCCTCTGGGGAGCACCTGGGGGAGGATGGCGGGGAAGATCAGGATGATGATGGTGATGATGATGATGATGATGATGAGGAGGAGGAGGAGGAGGAGGAGGAGGAGGAGGAGGAGGAGGAGGAGGACCAGAAGGAGGAGGAGGAGGAGGAGGAGGAGGAGGAGGAGGAGGAGGAGGAGGAGGAGGAGGAGGAGGGAGCATCTTGGGAGCCTCTGGGAGCATTCTTGGAGTCTCCTGGGAGCTTCCTGGGAGCCTCTTGGAGGCGTCTTGGGGGCCTCCTTGGGCCTCTTGGGGGCCTGTAGGGGGGCTTCTCGGGGCCTATTTGGCCGTCTTAGGCTGTTCCTGGCCAGTCTGACGCCGTCGGAAGCCGTCTTGGGAGCCTCTCTGGGCCGACTTGGGGCCCTCTTGGGGTGCTCCAGGGCCGTCTTGGAGGCCATCTTGGGCGTCTTGGAGGGCTCTTGGGCCGACTGAGGCCCTCTTGGGGCTGTCTTGGGGGCCTTTTGTGCTGTTCTGGTGCCATCTTGGAGGCCTCTTGGGCGATCTTGGGGCGATCTTTGGGGGCTCTTGGGTCGGCCATCTTGGAGGCCTCTTGGGCGATATTGGGGCGATCGTTGAGGGCTCTTGGGCCGTCCTAGGCCGTTTTGGAGGCCATCTTGGACCATCTGGGCCGAATTTGGAGGCCCCTTGGGGCCGTCTTGCAGGCTTCTTGGGCCGTCATGAGGTCATCTTGGAGGCCTTTGGTGCCATCGTGGGGCGATCTCGGGGCCTCTAGGGCCGTCTTTGGCTGTCGGAATGCCGAATAGAAGCAATGACAAAATCCTTCAAAATGTTAGTGCAAATCATTGGTTTTGGCCTCGTTGGACCCTCTTGGGCAAAACTTGGGGACTTCTTGGGTGGACCTGAAGGCATCTTAAACCCTCTTCGGCCGTCTTCGAGACCATCTTGGATAATTCTGGGCGATCTTGGAGGCCATTTTGGACCATCTTTGCCCTCTTGCATGTCATCTTTGGGCCATCTTGCAAAAGAAACCGACGGAGTGTGCTTTTTCGGCGGGCTTTCGGGTGGCAGGCGCGCTGTGCCGAAGCCCCAGGGGGAGTTGCTTTGGAAAAGGACCCAAACCAAACCGCATTGGTTTCAGCACGCCGGGCACCCCTGTGGCAAGCCTACAGGGGGCGGCGCATCGAAGACGCCTGCGGCGAATCGCTGCCACCCCCTGCCTTTTGGAATGGCCCATGTGGCCGAGCGTTGTGGCCAGAGCTCTGCCAAGCTGTCGGACCATGTGTTCTCCCAGCCGTTGTGGAAATCCTCCGGGGGAACACTTGGGGGAGGATGGCGGGGAAGATCAGGAGGAGGAGGAAAAGGAGGAGGAGGAGGACCAGTGTAAACCCAAGAGTCATCAACGATGTCGGAATAAACCCTCCCTTCAAGCTTCCATGTCATAGGCCCCTACAAGGGTTCATTTTCACTGAGGGAACTGCCTCGTTGGAAGACAACCGTTTGAAGACTCTCAAGCATGCCAACACATATTCTCAGAACTCCAACGCCACGGATCAGCCTAACTGTTGCGTCTTGACGATCCTGAATCGCGTCAGACCGCCACTCCTGGGACTTCAGCACCGCGAATCAACGTAACTGCTGCACCTTCGTGTTCCAGACTTTTTCCAAAACTAAGGCGAGAGTTACATTTTGAACACGAACCGCCCTCACTCCGCGGAGCTCTTGCACATTTCAAGCAGGAATGTGCGCGGCGCTCGGGCGAGAGCCACATTTTGGAAACGTCCCGCCCTCAATCCGTGACGTTCTTGCATTTTTTTGAAACGAAAGTGCGCGGCGCTGAGGCGAGAGCCACGTTTTGAAAACGACTGGCTTTCAATCCGTGAAGCTCTTGCAGCTATTCCCAAACATCCTGTGGTGTTGGGTCCTCTTTTTAAAGAGAGCGCCCCGCGTTCCTCCTTCCGTCCTCCTCCTCTCCTCCTCCTCCTCCTCCTCCTCCTCCTCCTCCTCCTCCTCCTCCTCCTCCTCCTCCTCCTCCTCCTCCCTCCTCCACTCCCTGCCTCTGCTCTCCGCATGCCCATCCCATTTCGGCACACCTCTCGCACGTTTCGTTTCCCCATGGGGAGCTCCACCGAAGGCCCCAGTTGAAAAGGTCGCATGGCACCGCCGCCCCATGTCAGCACACCCCTCACACGTTTCGTGGCCACATAGGGAGCTCCACCGAAGGCTCCAGTGGAAAGGTCGCATGGCACCGCTGCCCTATTTCGGCCAACCCCTCACACGCTTCGTGGCTCCATAGGGAGCTCCACCGAAGGCCCCAGTGGGAAAGTTCGCATGGCACCGCCGCTCCATTTCGGCACACCCCTTGCGCGTTGCGTGGTACCATAGGGAGCGCCACCTAAGGCCCCATTGGGAAAGTTCACATGGCATCGCCGCCCAATTTCAGCACACTCCTCACACGTTTCGTGGCCCCATACGGAGCTCCACCGAGGGCCCAGAACGGCCCAAAAGGGCCCCAAGAGGGCCCCAAAACGGCCCCAAGAGAGCCCCAAGAGGGCCCAAAGAGGCTCCCAAGAGGGCCCCAAGAGGCCCCCAAGCGAGCCCCAAGACGGCCAAATGCTTCCAAGACGCCCCTAGACGGCCCAAACGGGCCCCAAGACGGGCTCCAAAAGGGCATCAAGAAGACCCCGACGAGGCCCAAGAGACGCTCAAGAACACCATGGGTCCCATCAGCGAGCGGTGACGTAACAAGCTCTTGACACCAAGGCCCCCCAGAGCGCGGTGACGTACAAAGCTCGTCACACCAAGGCTCCCAAGAGCGAGCGGCAAAGTAAGAGTCTCTCAACACTGGGGCTCCCCACGGAGAGCGGAGCGGCGACGTAACAATCTTCACGCCAAGGCTCCCAACAGCGAAGGGCGCCATGAGCCCTCTCGGGCCAGTTCCTGAGGCGCTCTTTCCGTTTCCGTGCCAGCCCAGGTTTAGTGGCATTCGGCCCATCCCGCCACCGTGCCTGGATTGTGGGTATGAAGCCTATTGGATGTTCGTTGGGATCTCGTGCGAGGCCTCTTGGCGGCCTCTTGGAGGCAGGTTGGAGGCCTCTTGGGGGCCGTTTTGGAGCTTCTTGGGGCCTCTTTTGGGCCTGTTTGGGGCCTCTTTGGGGCGTCTTTGGGGCCTCTTTGGGGCCTCTTGGGGCCTCCTGAGCGCCTCTTGGGGCCTCCTGGGGGCCTCTTGGGACGGAAAACTCGGTAGTCCCTCTCTTGGGTCCCTTATTGGGACGTCTTGAGGCCCTCTTGGGCCGTCTTGGGGCGCTCTTAGGCCCTGTGGGGACCCTTTTGGAGGCCTATTGGGCCGTTTTTGAGTGGTCTTGGGGGCTTCTTGGGCCGTCTTGGATGCAGCGTCGGAAAGCCGAAAAAGCGAGAGCGCCAAACTCTTTCAAACACCTGAGGCAATTCAATGATTTTTGCGTCTTGGGGCTCTTTTGGGAGGCCTGTTGGAGGCCTCTTGGGGCGTCTTGGAGGCCTCTTGGGCCGTTTGGGGGCCATCTTGGGTGTCTTGGAACGATCGTTCGGCGAGTCAGGACCCACTTGGACAGTCTTCGGGGTCTCTTGAGGCCCTCTTGGCCCGTCTTGGGGCGCTCATGGGACCGAACAATTCATGCGCCACCATGCTGGGGAGCCCAGAGGGCACGCGACAAGCCGCGGGAGATTTGGCAATCTCTGTTCCGGGCAAGACACCTCAGAATCGAGGACTGCGGCTCCGAGGATTAGGCAAAGGATCCGAGAACACGCCCACTCCGTGCCCAGAGGCACGTAGGCCAGTATGTGTATACCTACGTGTCTACGTGTATACAGCTGACAGCTGTGCTGGTACAATCGGTTCCACTGTACACAGCTGGTCCGGCACAGCTGAAGGATGGACTGGGGGAGCTGGGCCATGGGCCCCCCGGGAGGACCCACGACGGCTCAAGAGGGCCCAAAAGAGGTCCCGAGAAGGCCCGCAAGACGGCCCAAACGGGCCAACGACGGCCCAAGATGGCCGCAAGACGGGGCAGCATAAGGGGTCGGCAGACGAGGAGGACCAGGGGTATACACAGGGGTCAGGCCCACCGAGCTGCTTCGCTCACCGTTCCGTTGCTGGCCGATCGCTGCTGTTTGCGACGAGCGATAGAGCAGGGGGTTGCAGGGATGAGAAGGAGGGGGGAGGAGGGGGAAGGAGAGGGGAGAAGGGTGGCGGGCATCCCACGGGTTGAGCTCAAAACCTGTCGAGGTTTCGCGCAGGTCCCCACAATCCCGTGCTCGAGGCAGTACTCCCTTGAGGGAACAAGCTTGGCATCCCACTTGTCTGCTTGCCACCCTTCTGCGTCTGCGTCCTCGTGATGTCTCTTCCCTGATGCGCTCATGTTGCATATTGGTATGGGCACATGCTTCACATCGAGTGTGTCGCGGGATCGCCTCCGTCTGACATCGACATGTTCCATGAGCGCCGAGCGTGATGCTCTGGATGCGCTGGGCTACGGCATGTGAGCCCCCTTCTACGTATTTGTCTGTCAATGCTGCCGTTCCTCGTGCTTTTGATGACACGTTGTATGTGTTGGTGTGTGGAATTCCATGAATTGTCGTTGAGCTCTTCGCGCAGCATTGGCCATGCTCCTGGCTGGGGCACTGTCATGCACCATCATGAAACAACATCGCTCTTCTCTTCCTGAGTGATTTCCTGCTTCCGAAAAGGTCACACGCCAACGACGACGCCCTCTTTGTCAACGCGTTTCTCTCCAGCGGCCTGTTGGGCGTTGCGCTGCCGTTCATTGTGTTCAAGGCGTTCCTCTTACACCTGGCTAGTAGCAGCAGGGGCTGCAAGACGATGAGGAAGAACACGACGACGACGACGACGACGGGGTGGGGAGGAGTACCAGCAGCTGATCAAGGAGCTGGATGAGCGGGTGTTGTGTCGAAATCCGTTGCCTAGGTGCCTTCGAGTTGGAGGCCGGGGGGGTACAGGGCAGCGGAAGTCGATGCAAGCAGGAAGAAGACAGGGACACCGTACACGCTTGTTCTGTCTGGGCGACCGCGTGCCTTGTACGGTAGGTTCACGCGGCGTTGGCGCGCCAGCGACGCTGGCGGAGGCGTTCAAGGTTGAATTCTGCGACGCGGAAGCACCGAGGAACACAGTTACGCCATTGGACCCGACGGAATTCAACCTTGAACGATCGGGGCCGCGATCGATTCAAGGTTGAATGATCGACGTGATGTCGAAAACCTTGGCGCGCGCCGACGCCGCGCGAACTTACCGTGACACGGTGGTCTCAGCGGCTGGCGGGGCTCGCGGGGCTTTGCTGTGTTCCTGCTCGTTGCCATCTGCCACGTGTGCGGAGCTGCGCCGTCGGTGCCGCGCTTCCCTTCGGCTCTGCCGTGCTCCTGCTCGCAGCACGCACGCCGCCAGAGGCGGCGGAGAGCTCGAGAGATCCACCCGCCGAAAGTGCGCAGGCCGGCCACCGGCGGAGGCGCAGCGGGAGGCGGCAGCCAGAGGGGGGGGGAAGAGCGGCGGACGGGTCACGGAGGGAGAGAGGAGGCCAGCGGCGGCGGGCGGCGGCCGCGGCGGCCGGCACGCGGGCAGGAGCGGCCTCTCCGGGCGACGCGCTTTTCGTACGTCGGCGGCGGGGCGGAGGGGCTGCGCTGGCGAAGTGGCATTCTAGCTCGTGGGCAACGACAGGGGGGGAATAGGCATAGTCAGAGCGTGAATTACCTACCCCGCCTTCGCTTCCAGGCAAAACCAAGCCATACCACGCGCCTCCTCGTCAAGCGGCCTGACCAGTACAGGCTGCAATTTGGCATCGTTTGGTATCTCTTGGAAGCGAGGGTGGTCAAAAGCGAGGTAGGTTTGTTTTCCCCCTACATAGGGCATCAAGGGGGGGATGTGCGTCGACCCCCAGGCGCCCATTGATCGCCGCTAGGGGCCCGACGGCCCCGGCCTGCCCAGGAGGGTGCGGACTCACCATCGGAGGCCCGTCGCCGATCGATCGGCGATGTACCTCGCCGATGCCGGGTCGATGCTTGCCCACCCCCTCTCCCCATCCCCCCCCCGTATCTTTGCCCCTCGCACGAGTCGGACACGCAAGATGGTGCGCACTGAGCCGCGATGCACGGGAGAAAGGGAAAGGAAGCCCGGCGCGGGCGGGCGGGAGAGAGGACGCCGGGCCCGCTCAGAGCAGGCCCGGGCGGCGGCGGGGCGGGCGCGGGGGCGGGGGGCCCCAGCGGCGGCGGAGGGCAGCAGCCGGGGGCTCGCAGGCAGCAGGCAGCCGGGCGCGCGCCCAGAGGGGGGGAAGCAGGCCCTGCGCACACGTACTTTTTTTATGTTGATCTGCAGAGCGAGAGCGAGCCTCTTCCGCTAAAAGCTCCGCGGGACGCGCATAGCTTTGATTCACAGAGGGGGGGCGAGAGCAGGCCCTGCGCGCACGCGCGCGGGCAGGTAGGCAGACTGGCGGATGGACAGACGGGCGGACAGGCAGGGGCAGAGGCAGCTGCTGCGCCAAGAGCAGCGTGCGCGACGCAGGTCTGGTCCGCACGCTGCGGGTGGGAGGCAGGCCGGGCCCGCCACGGAGGTGCGCGCTTTCCCAGCGGAGCCGGAGACCTGGCCGAGAGAGCGACCAGGACGCGGGGCCGTGGGGAGCCTGTAGGGTCGGGAGCGTGTGGTCAGCGTGTCGCGCAGCCGACTCTGGCCCACCACGCCTGGGCGAGACACGACATGTACGCCCTGGTGCCCAAGCGTCGACGTTCTGAGCTGTTCCCAGCTTCCGCCCAGCGGAGCGGAGCGACACGCTATCCGCTTGCATTGCATGGTATGTCACCGGGGCCGCCGTCGCGACACGCTAAGCAATACATCTTGACCGTATGCAGAACGCGTAGTGTGAAGCACGTCGAACGGCCATGCACGCTTTCAAACACAACATGCAGCGCACGAAGGGCGGCGCAGCTCTGGCGCAGATGACGTTCTGAACGCTCTCGTGTTTGTGCCCGCTGTTGGGCCAGCAGCTAGATTATGTGGCTATGATATTGATGCTGGCAACAGAAGCGGCTTCGCAGCGACCTCGAGTATTGGAATTGGTTGCACGCTTTGCCAAGTTACGCGCCGCCGTTTCCCTTTAGCAGTGCTGTGGCCATGGTCAGTCAAGGCAAGCACTTTACCATTCCAAGCCGATGCATTACACATCTAGGCGTATTTTGAGTTTTTGTTCGGATCGCGCCCACGCAGAGTGCTGCAGTTGCCATCTGCGCTGGATCGGCTGACTATCCTGCTTTGTGCGGCGTCGCAGAAGGCATCCTGCATGGTCTTTCCCCTTTACTGGGGTCAACCTTGGGGCCTTTCCTTCCACATTGTGTGATGGGGGTTTCAGTTGCAACATTTGTGGTAGATCCAGCTCCTCCATTCTAACTGTGTTTGGTTTCGCTGTTTGCCTGGTCTTTGTTCTTAGCAGCCTCGTGTGCGAAGCTGGCACTGCGTGCGGAGAAGGCGCCCCAAGTAGGTCGCGAGGACGAAAACGGTAAGGCTTCAGCATGATCCTGGCGAATGGTCCAACAATACGCAGCTGCGAGTGCCGCAAGGCAAGCGAGAAGAAGGATAGGGGGTGAGCAAAAGGACAAACTGGGGCGCATGTCCCGGAACATGCGGCGCCGCGCGAACCCTGCCACTGAAGCCTTCGGTGGAGCTTCCTTTGCGGCCACGATCCTCGTGAGGGGTGTGCTGAACTGGGCGGGGGGACGCGCGCGAACCCTGCCACTGTGGCCTTCGGTGGAGCTCCAGGCCAAGATCCTCGTGAGGGGAGCGTCGAACTGGGCGGGGGGACGCGCGAAAACCCTGCCACTGGGGCCTTCGGTGAAGCTCCAGGCCAAGATCCTCGTGAGGGGTGCGTCGAACTGGGCGGGGGGACGCGCGAAAACCCTGCCACTGGGGCCTTCGGTGAAGCTCCAGGTCAAGATCCTCGTGAGGGCTGCGCCGAACTGGGGCGAGGCCGCCTTGCGAATTTTCTCACCGGGGTCTTCGATGGAGCTCCCTCTGGGGCCACGATCCTCGAGATGGGTGTGTCGAAACAGTCGGGCGGACGCATGCGGACCCTGCAATTGGGGCTTTCGGTGGGGCTCCCTATGGGGCCACGATCCTCGTGATGGGGTGCGCCGAACTGGGCGGGGGGACGCATGCGGACCCTGCCACTGGGGCGTTCGGTGCAGCTCAAGGCCAAGATCCTCGTGAGGGGTGTGCCGGACTGGGTGGGGGGACGCATGCGGACCCTGCCACTGAAGCCTTCGGAGGAGCTCCCTATGGGGCCACGGTCTTCGTGAGTGGTGTGCCGAACTGGGCGGGGGGACGCATGAGGATCATGCCACTGGGGCTTTCGGTGGAGCTCCCGATGGGGCCACGGTCTTCGTGAGGGGTGTGACGAAACAGAGACATGATTGTGGAGGACAGATGCATGGATGGGAGAAGGGAGGCGGGGTATTCAAACCGAGGACCCAATACCACAGGATGGTTGAGAGATGGTGATGGTGATGGCTACGGTGATGGTGATGATGATGATGACTATGGCGATGATGACGATGACGATGATGACGATGGTGATGACAACGATAATGATGATGATGATTGAAAGTGCGACACATTATCACTGTCCGCATCGGAGTCCTCTGCAGCTTTTCTGGCTTGGGATGGGAGGGCCCGGCCCGCTCAACGCCCCTGCCGTTGCGATTGCGGCGTTCCTCGGTGGCCTCACCGGCGGCTGGTGGGCCGGGCCCGAGGCGGCGGGGCAGGGCTCCTGCGGGCACGTCCTCGACTGCCCGCCTTGCGCCTGCCCGGCGCCCTCCTGGCCCCACGCGGTCGTGCCCGCCGTCGGCGCCCTGCCTGGCGTGCATCTGCCCCGCGGCGGTCTGCCCCGAGGCGGTCTGCCCCTCGCTGGCCGCCTGCCCGGCGGCGGCCGCCTGCCCCGCCTGCAGCTGCGGCTGGGCGACTTCGGCCTTGTGGGCCGCCGCTCTGGCCGCTGCGACCCTCGCATTGGGTCTCGCGGCGGCCTGCCGCCTGTGGCGCCACGGCCGCTGGGTCGGCACGGCGACGGCGGGGGCCTCTTTCGGGGGCCCCGCCGCGCCTTCCGCCCTGGCCGCGGGCCGTGCGGCGCCGCCGCCGCTGGCGCTTGGCGACCGCGACGCTGGGGGTCCTGGTCTGGCTGCTCTCGACGAGCCCGACGTCTGGGCGCCTCGGCGTCGCCGCTGATGGCTGCCGTCCCGCAGGCCCTCGATATCGAGCAGCAGCAGATCGCCGAGGCCTTCGACCACGACCCGAGCGTCAGGTGGCACCACCGCATCCTCCTGGAGAAGATCGGGGACGATGGCAGGTGGGTGTATGCTACTCCGACCCACGACGTCCTGGTGCGGAACCTCTCGACGTCGCGCATCGTGCCGCTGGTTCGTGGGTGCCCGATCCCGGCTCTCCTGCGCGGGACATTCTACGGGTTCGATCCGCTGGGGAAGGACGAGCTGGCGGGCCTGATGCAACAGGCACACGCCGTGGCGAGCACCTTGGGTGGGGCTGCGCCTGCTGCTGCGGCCTCGGCAGCCGTCTGGTACGTTGCCGACCTCGCCGTCGAGGACTTCGGCACCACCGTCGAGGTCGCCGCCTCCTCCAAACCCGCGCGCTTCGTGTCGCGGGGCCATGCCGGGCTCGCCAGGATGGACGACCAGAGGTGGGTGGCAGTCGAGAGGCTGCTCCCCGGCGACCTGGCGGCCTGGAAGGAGGAGAAGCAGACGGGTGCCGGCTGCGACCCTCGGGTGCTC